CCGCCGCCGTGACCCCCAGCGCGGCTAGCCGCTGTCCCACGCGCGTGTGTCTGTTTGCATATGGCGGGCGCTAGGCGGGCGGGCGCCCACCGCGAGGCACGGCCGTCGTGGTGCAGCAAGCGCGTAATGACCTCCGTAAATCCAGCGGCTGGCTGTAAAGCGTGGTAGCGATGTCGCCCGCGAGCCCCCGGCCCCCTCCACCACACCCTGGCCCGATTTGAAATAGGTACCACAGCAGCCGTGTATCTGCGATTGGTACCGTCCGTCTAAACTGTACACTACACCCTGGTGCCAAGTTCCAGTAAAGTCGGCGACTAAGTCACCTGCTCGAGCCTCGAAAACCAGGGGACTTGGGTCGCCTAGTTTCTGGGGCTATGGACTTTGTCGCCTACTTGCTGGACACCCTTGGGTGTACAGTGTCGGAGCGCCGCGCCGCCCACCATGTCGGTGCCGCCGCCGGGTGCCACGCGGCGACGACGGGGGCCGCCCGAGGCACGGACGATGCCCGCCCGCCGGGCACTGCTGCGGGCGGGCGGCCTACCTCCGCGGCGCTCGCCTAGCCTAGGCGGGCTAGGCCCAGCGCCACCGGCCGGCCGCGAGAGGAGAGTGGGGGGCGGTGCCACTGAGGCGACTGAAACAAACGGAAGATGCGGCGTTGAAGACACATACAGTCACGCGTCCATCTTACACTGTGAAAAATATCCTCGTAAATTAACGACATTTGTTGTAATTTTGATTTCCAAAATAAGTCGTTAATTTACGACAGCCCATTCTTGCTCGTCGGTCAATTCTAAGTCGATAGGGAGTGCTTGTAAATTTACGATTTCAAATTGTAATTTTACGACTTTTATCATGGAAAATTTTCCCGTAACCCTTACGAGTATTTTTCACACTGTTCGTGAACCGAAACCTCGCGACCAAACTTACATATAAAGAATACAAATGTTGTAACTACACCGTAATTAATTAGTGTTTATGTTGTCCAGGAGGCGCATCTGCTCGCGCCGGGAGGCGACGCCGCGCCAGGAGAAGGTGCGCGAGACGTACTGCAGGCCGCGCATGCTGCCCTACCAGCAGCGCTGCAACGGCGACCAGGTGTGCAGGGGCGTCCGGTAAGTGAAGGGGAACGTGTGTAAAAGTGTCAAAACTTCGCAAAAAAAAAGTTGTATCATACCCCAAGGAGCCTTAATTTCTTGCCAAAATACATGATTTCAAATATGCGCAGTTTTTGGAAGGAACCCTATCAGAGGTCTATTATAAAGTACCTAAAACATTATTGATAACGCGGTTCGTTTCGGCAGCCCGATCCCTTTTTAACTTAATTCTTTATTTTTGGATGTTGTTTTTACCAGACTATTGTCTTAATGGTTCTGAATAAATCATGTTAATGGGAGTTTGTCGCTCGCCACGGTCTGTCTCGAAGTCCGTCTCTGACCCAGTAACCTTTCATTTGTGTCCCCCGTGCCCCGGCGGCTCCGGCATTAAGAGCAGGACCGCGCCATGCCCCCGCGTGCTGAGCGATGCGTTTCCACGAGGCCCCCCTCCGTGTAGGACCGCCTCGCGGGGGGCGCGCGGAGGAGTGGGGGTGGGGGGACAGCGTGGGGCGC